AATTAATTAAAATTATTTAGATATAAATGGTATTAAAATAAATATCAAAATTTTTAATTTTTTATATATATTAATTATAAGAATATGCATTTATTACATTTTTAATATATGTTAGACAAATCTATTCAATAAATATTTATTTTTGGCAAAAAGATAAAGATTTTTCTCTTGGTAAAACGACAACGTATTGTCCGACTACTGGGACAAAGGAAACGGCGTCGTTATTTTGGTCGGTCTATTTAACCCTAAAAACCCTCCGAACTCCAAAGACAAGACCTTGAATAAATCTGAATCCTGGAGATAAGCTTACGCCGCCACAAGATGGCGCTTTAGCTCTGGGGATGTTGCAGGTAAGTGAAAGTCGCCGGAAAAACAGAGATTTTCTTGTTTGGTTTCTTAAAAAGTGGATATGATGGCTGAAAGTAAAAGGTATGAGCAGGAAGCTTATGTTGGTAGTTACGACATCGAAATACGAGGGGAAAGGGAGAGGGCCCTCGTCCTTGTTCAAGTTTTGGCTTGCGACCGTCGCAACCTCTCCCACAGTAACCGTAGCATGCTTGAGCATGGCCACGAGTATTTTGTATTCCCCACTACTTTTGACTGTCTGTCAGCTGCCATCTTGCTTCCTGCATTGATCAAACCTTCATGCTGATCCTTTTGTTTTGTATTTGCTTTTATCTTAAGATCTTTATATGCATTTGAAAAAAAGTGTTTGCGCACTCAGGTTGTATTGGACACTACAACATAAACCACTGATATCGGGCACTTCTGACTGGAAAACAGGAAACTCATGTAGTTTTACCATTTTTTGAGATGCATTCTTTGCATTTTCCATCTCATTTCTTTCAAGTTTTATTCCTAGAGGATGTAGTTTTCCTAGGATTTGAGATATTCTTTTTCATGAACTCAGGTTTATAGAATCATTCCCTTTTCTTTGGTTCTAATCTATTATTAAACCCAATTCATATACTAAAAGAATATATATGGTATTATTTCTAGCAGTATTATATTCTTTTATGCTTGTACGATTGTTTATTTTCTCTGAATGTTGAGCGTGTTTTCAAGAGCAAAATCCTGGATGCCTTTCGAATGTGGTTTATGATGTAAATGGCTTGTACCCTTTTTTTAAGGAGAATAAATGGTTTGTCCTTTTGGGGGGGGGGGGGGGGGGATAGATGCATCCATGAAGTTTGATCCTGCAGTTCTGCCTTCATGCCCTATCTATGGTAGGCTGATAGTACAAAAGATTCAGCTCATTAGTTTCTACTGCAAAATTTTCTTCTGTTATGTTTCTCAGCTTAAATTAGGTCATGGAGTCATTGTAGGTTGTTTGAGTCCCTTATCCGGACATTGAGAGAACAGGAATGGAATCGCTGATATGCCTCGATCATCTTCATTGTGACCTTGAAGATTGGGGCAACATTTACATGAGCTCTCAATGCCTGTTTATTCTGTAAGTAGATAGATCCAAGCTTGAGGCTGAATTCAGAAAAAACTGTGGAATGTTGGGCCCAAGTAATGGATGGAATAAATTATGACACGTCACGATAAGGGTGCTCTTCTTTGACATCCAGCCTCCATCCAAGGAGGAATTCTGCGGTTATCCCCGATACCACTGATGTGATATCTTTGGAGAATATATAAAAATATATTATCTTAGCATTTTTTTCTTCACATTTCATATAAACAGAAGCAGAGATAGCATGTTTTTATTGGCTAAGATACCACGTCCGGGAATACAACAGAAATTTTCCCATCCAATAGTCAAATGAAGCAACTAATGGAATTATGGTACAACCTCCAAGACGTCAACTCCACAGTCCAGGAACTGTGGGTATTAGTTTTCTTTGTGGGAAATTATTGATTATATTGGAAAACGAGAAAATATTACCTACTTAACTAGTTTTCGTTGATTTTCGTTGATGCTGATTACCTAAGAGTTGCGAAATTGAGATCTTAATCTTTTATAAAGTCATCATTTTGTATATGGCTGGATTAATGGTTAGCTTTCATTTATTATGTACTCTATTAGGTCTCTTTAGATGGACATGGTTGTTTTTGTAGATTATATATATATATAAATTCGAGTGTCTATGATGTTGAGCTTAAACACCACCAAATCATTGTAAAACTATCTACCAAACGACCTCGTGGAAGCGGAATTTTGAGCTTAAACAGTAAACACCGAAGACCTCCTATAATTTTTTTAAATATATATATAAGAAAGACCTCCTATAATGGTTGTAACACATTCAAAAAAGCCATAACTTTTTTGCTACGGTTGACTACTATTCTACTAAAGTGTTATAAACTCTAATTGAAAAAAATAGCTATGGAATTTCATTTATTTTTTGAATAAAAAATAAAAAATAGTAGTTTTTATTTTATCATTTTTCCATCCATCAAATAGTTGTAGTTGAATATTAATTGTTAAAACCTTTTAATTTTTTATGTTTTTGATAAAAACATTATTTTTTAAAACTGCAAATATTATAACCTCTTAATTTTTTGTTTTCCGATAAAAATATTATTTTTAAAAACTACAATTTTTAATGATAAAAATAATAAAATATCTCAGAAAATGATAATCACCGTAAAGTCAGAAAACTGCCAACTGCCATCCATCAATCTGACCGTTAAATTTCAGCCCTTCCTTTCTTATCAAACCAACATTTTCCCTATATCTTTTTAAAAAAAAAAAAAAAAACATTTTCCCTATATCTTGTCCCACCTCTTACACATTTTTTTTTTTCTCAAACTGAAGATAGCTTTAGCTTTCAGCCTGTTTCCCTCTAATTCTTCTGCTTTCTCCATTGAACTTTATCCTTTCCCTCATATATATCACCATCCACAAATTTCAGTACGCAATAATTGTTAATCCTACCATACAGTTTCCTGAGTAATTTTCTTTTCTTCTTCTTCTAGAACCAAAAATCCTCCCCTTTTTCTCTTTCCCCAGTCCCAGAATTCTTCTTTTTTTCATCTTTTTAGTATTTATCAGTCCATATATATAATTATACATAGATTAATATTTTTTTTTACATTTTTTCATAATAAATTTCGAAGTAGTTCTTGAGGTTTAGGCGCTGTAGAAAGAATTGTTCTATTTATATATGGATTATATTTATAGGAAAAATGGATACACCCATTTATTATTCATTCTTGTACAAATTGCAGCTATAATTTCAAAAGTTTCGAACTTTCCAACTGTGTTAGAAATGGCTCCCAAGAACAACCGCGGAAAGGCAAAGGGAGAGAAGAAGAAGAAAGAAGAAAAAGGTAACAGTATTTCAAATTTCTTTAACTTAATTAATTAGCCGGCCGGGTGGAATGAATTCATTTTTTTTTTCTTTTTTCTTTTTTTTTTTCAGGTTCCATTCATAAATATTTCTTCAGACTGCAGCAGTTATATATTTCTAATTATCCTCATCTAGTTTGGAAATATTTTGCAGTTCTTCCGTTGGCTCTGGACATCACCGTGAACCTTCCCGACGAAACCTGTGTCGTCTTAAAGGTTTGTCATGGTTCTTGTGTATGTGATTAATTAATTAAACAAGTTGTGTTAAAAGTTCTGGAGCAAATTCCTCACACATTGTTTATCCTGGAACACCGTGAGTGCGTCCGCGCATGCATTTCTTCAACCTTACTTCTTCTTCTTCGTTTTTTGGTTTTAATATGTAGTATTTTAAAGATTGAATCATAAAATTTACAATTAAAAATAAATATAAATATAAATTTATCACTCGATCATATAGCTGAGTATAGAAGTTTGCAACAGGGCTCAAAAACACGATATCTTCATTCTTTTCGAAATTTTGATGTTTTTAGTTGAACTGTTCCTAAGAGTTTTTGTCGTGCTTTACACAGCACAAGACTTTCTCATCTCAAGTCGTGTAAAATTATATGCATATTTTTCATCATTGGTTTCAGTCGCCCTCATTTCTCATGTCTTATTGTAATATATATCATCATCAAATGGTTGGTATAGGTTGCGTAATTTGACTGAAAAAACGGTATTGGTTTTGAAATAATTTCTTGGATAGTATTATAAGGATAATTTTTTTATATCATATTTTTATATAATTTAATATTATAAATTTTACATAAATTAAAAAAAATTAATTATTTAAATAATACATCAAATTATATAAAAAAAATAAAACAAAATATTATACAAAAATCATTTCCTTAATTTCTTTGCGTTAATCGGAATCTTTTTATAAACAGGGAATTTCTACGGACAGGATTATCGATGTGCGTCAACTTTTATTGGTGAATCCAAAGACCTGCTACACCACCAACTTTTCATTGTTTCACCAGGTAATTAAGGATTCAATTGGAGCATTACTACTCCACAAGATTTGGTGGTCATATGATTAGCTAGCTAGAGTAGCAAAATGAACCTTTCTTAAAAATGAAATTTTCAACCATGGTTTTAAGAGAGCAAGTTATAATATATTTTTTTTTTATTTTTTAAAAAATAATTAATTATTATTTATTTAAAATTTTAAAAACAATGTATATATTTACTTATATTACTCTTAAAAAAATAAAAAATATTTTTTATGATAATATAAAAATTACATTAAATTATATTATTTCGATAAAATATTATAAAAAATAATTAAAAACGTTATAATTTATACTCTAAAAATATAATATTTTGATTTTTTTCAATAACAATTTATTGAAACAACGTAATTATAAAATAAAATTTCCATAACTTTTTAAAAAATAATACAGATAAACATTATTTTTTAAATTTAATATTATCAAATTTTTATATATTTTTTTATAAAATTTAAT